TAAGATTTTGGAATTAATTATAAAGAATCCTTCTTGTGGGAAAATGCTTTTGTTTTGAATTAAAAAAAAACATAATATTTTAAAAATTGGACACTAAAGAGAATTAGAGGGAACTAAAGTTTCCCTCTTTAAAGATTAAAGGAGAAGAACACTTAAATTTGACTTACAATTACAGAATGAAGCAAAATAATTTCAGTTGGACATATTGAAGGATATTTTTGAACAGTGGACCCAGAAGTTAATTTTAATAGTGTCTGCCTCTATAGGTAGACTGTGTCTAAAAAATGTTGTGGAAGAGGAACAAGTTCCATCTGATAAGATTGAGACTGACATAAAAAAAAGATGTTACACTGGACATACAAAAGAAACTAGCTGTTGTCTTAATAATTAAAAGGGTTATACAAACAACAAACCAAGAGAGTGACCTGGATAATTTTCCTATATTGGATTTACAAAAGAGGCTTGTTAACGTTTTGAAGAATTTTGTAAGAAGGGACAAAGAAAAAATGAAAAGAAATCAAGAACCAAGAGAGTGACCTGGATAATTTTCCTATATTGGATTTACAAAAGAGGCTTGTTAACGTTTTGAAGAATTTTGTAAGAAGGGACAAAGAAAAAATGAAAAGAAATCAAGTTCTCGGACATTATTTGAAGGGACAAAAGATTAAGATTGTTAGAAGTAAAAGGAATATAAAGTTGGTTTTTTAAATCAAGGTTAAAATAGATATGTTATCTCTGGTTACCCTTAGTGAACTTTTGCTTACTTCAAGATTGAAATGATGATGCTTTATGGATTTGTTTATAGATTTAGATGGAATATGGGAAGATCATTTGTTGTATTTTAAGAGAAGGTGATAAATTACTAAACTTGTTTATACTTGTGATGAAGGTGGGAAGTCACTTCTTTATTTCTTTTCTTTTTCTTTATTCTTATTTTTTCTTTTCTATTTCTTTTTCTACTTTTTCCCTTTCTTTTCTGAACCTTCTCCTCTTTCTCTTTATTCTCTTTTTTTCAGTTTGTATTAATGTTTACTGTTTATAACTATAATCTTTAATAAAATTACTATTAAAAAAAGAGAACAGATCACATTTTAGGTCATATTTATGCAGAAATATTGAAAATTCAAAAGGGTACACAAACTTTTAAGCACCACTGTATTTGTATTGTAAGGTTCACGGCTACCCAGAAAACTTGAAATCAATCAGCAGCACAAAAGAAAAGACTTCAAGCAGGGACTTCTC